CTACTGTATCAGTGCATTTCTTGGTCACTGTTTTACCAATAGGGAACTCAAAGGCGTCTGCTTATCTTTCCCTTAATAAGACTGAACTGGACAATGTTTTCTACTATTTGTACACTTTCCAGTGGCTACTAATAAAAATAAACAATTGGCATATTGTTTACTGTGACTTTAATTGATCTCATGGGAACTTCGTTAGGCCTGTTGCGCGTGAATTTATATGCATTGTGAAAGGAAAGACGGCAAAACCGTTAGCTTATCTGTTGGCTAGCCGGTGTATCTACTGGTGGCGGATAGTGGAATGGTTTTAAGTCAAGGTCAGAGCTGCGGAATAAGCCGAATTTATGCTCAGACGAATAAGCTCCGCGAATATATTGCAACAATGCTACCAGGGCGCGGAGTACGTCGGCCTGACACGCCGAAAGCCTTACAACGTGCCGCAAATTCCGATGACATGGTATCCATGATCCGTCATTAGGTAAGTTTGCTTGCCACTGCTGCCTTGTGTTTAGGTTCCTGAGTTAATCTACTAAAGTTAACGACCTCGAACAAACCGTTCAACTGGCTGTAGCTTATCGGATTATATTCAGTCTCCAAAAAGTCATATGCAAATGTTTCTGACTACAATATCAAGATCCACGCTAGGGTCTCCGTGGGAACCAAAGCCCTCCGCCACTCTGATCTAGTGGCGCGAGCAATGGTATGGGAGCTGGGCTACTCAATCTGGGACGGACTCTGGATATCAAATGTTGGAAGGTGCCAACATTCTTGGAACCTCGTGCCAACATTCCGACGATGAGCAGTATTAATCAATACAGCGTGGGTATCTGCTGCCTGTCTGAAGTCCGAATGATCTCCGGACTCAATTCACACTCCTCCCTGTCCCACAATGGCCCACACAAACCTTATAGTAGACACGTGGTGGCGACTGCTTCCTCGAAACGAGCGAACGCTGCGGTACTTGGTGGTGCTGCACATGGCGCTTTTCCCTATCTTGGCAAAAATCCTCCTTTGTGGTCGTTGACGGCGATCAGCAGCTTCAACTACGCATAGACGGTCAATAAATAAGTGTACCCGACGTTGCTCATGATCTAGACATATCATAGTTTAATGTTCTCAGTCTGTCAGAGCATTGTGCCTTGATAGCCTCGAAAGCGTGCTGGTTTATTCTCCGCAGTTTTAAAACTAACACTATTAGAATAAGTCCTTACAAAATGTACATTAGACCTAGCCTGCGATGCTGTTCGTTTTTATTAAGCATTCTGCGTGCTAATGAAGGGAAAAATAGAATTGGTCCAGCATTTCTTTATTAAAAGAGCTTTCTCTCCAGGACGCCGTCTTACTAACAACGTTATGAGCTTACTAACCTTTACCCCTTTTGGCTTCGCAGATTAAAGGAGGGACAATTTTTACTACTTAGACGTTCAAACAGTCGTACCTGTAATCCCCTCACTACTCTGAGGCAGCTTCACCACTCTCGGCGCAAGAGTCACACTAATGTCTTTTTCTTTCGCTCTTTGGCACGCACAGTCAGATATCGTCATAAACACTATAGCAATCATAAGTCCATGGGGCTATGGGTAATTTCTTGGATACGTCGAACGGCGTCGTAAAAACAGGATTAGGGGGAAAACTCCACCATTTT